GGCTCTATACAAACCGCACCCAAAACTAAATGGAAAGGAGAAAAAGCTAAATAGTGTAGATCAACATATCTATGAAGATTTTCAATATTGATAGTGTAGATCAATATTGATAGTATTTCACCGTACCCCTTCATCTCTTCTCTCCCACGTTTATTTAACTTTTGGTCACAAAAACTTGCCCCAATAAATTGTTTTATTCTATCCAAAAGCTTTTTAAAAAAGTGCAAAATAGGGTTCAAAAGATTTTTGGATTGAGATGAAATAATACAATTTGTTGAGGCTAATTTTTATGGCCAAAAGTAAATAAACGTGGGAGAGAAAAGATGAACGGGTACGACGAAATACTCGAGGGTTTTTTTATGCCGCTTGAAATAAAAATAGGAAGGTCTACCGTAAAATAAGATGAGGAATTAAGGGCCTGTACGATATTTTCCCAACAAAAAATTTAAACATATAAGCGCAAAATATAATTAATGAGGTGATAATCTTGTCTGAAAATAAAAGTGAATTAGAAATCCCATTTTATAGAGGACAAAAACAAAATGCTGCAACCCAAGAATAATAAATAAAATGAGCATATAGATGAAATTCATATTTTCACCTCAACTATAAGGAGTTGAGGCAGTTAAAGAAACTGGAAAAAGCCTATTTGGCATCTTACTTAGAACACCATCCACTATTGTTGGGTTGGTTGCAAAAACAATACATTATATTTCAAATCCATAAGTTTTAATCAGTTTGTCTATCTTTTCTGATAGATGAAAAAAGATGAACAAACTGATTACTCAGTTTATCTATCAATGGGACCAATTTGAAATCCATAATTTAGAGGATAGGATTCTAAAATCATCAGACGTTCCAGCAAAAATATGCTTAATGTTCACAGAACAAACTCTTCCAGGCTAACTGAGGCTCTAGTGTAAGCCATGAGAGGGCGATAATTATCAATCAGTACAAATAATGCTAAATATCTAGAGATGCACAATAGGGTGCGGTTTCTATAAAATTGCAACCTTAAACAATCCAATTAACGTGCTCCTCCAAATTTTATCATAACATGTAATTTTAACGTAAAATATTTTTAGAATTATCTCAAAATCTATTTTCATATCTAATTATAAAATTTTAAACTCCAAAAATGGTTAAAATCAAATAGATCTATAAACATATGAAAATCTTTAAAACAGAAGGTTTAGATAATGAGTTGCAAGATACACTATTTTTGAAACTCAAAATCTTTTTTTTGTTTCATATTCATACATCTTGATGTCGAGATCATCAATTAAAGAGTTTTTCAACGTTAAAACAACTTTTTCCGATGGATTTTTTATGTGCATCTTTAATTCTACATTTTAAGGTTGCCACCTTATATAAACTTTTTCCTATACAATATAACTGGAAAAAAAAAAACATGAGCCAACATTTCCTATTCCAACATGTGTAATACGCCAGAGCTATTACTAGAGAGAAACTGAACGGATGTATAAATATTACAGAATGACTGCTCAGGGACAAACTCCCCATCTTCCAATAAATGAATATGGCAAACTGCACTTCTTTATTTATAAGCCTTATGAAGGGTAACGCCACTTCCTGTGTAAAATATTTCGAAGCCAGTGGGGAGAAAAATATAATTACAGAAATTCTGCCAAAGAGGAAGAAACTTGTCCTTCACTATTGTACTATACACAATTGAGCATAATGATAACAGATTTTTATCCAAATGCAGAGGATTAAATAGAAGTTACTGGCTCCAGAATTGAAGCATCCATAACCAAAATTCATCATGCAGGGTGGCACTTCAGTTGTCCTTGAAATAGCTCAGGAACATACTAGAGTACAACAATATCTGCAACAGAGCATGCTTTCTTCTGATCTTTCATTTTTTGAAACTGAGCAAGCTAACTTCTGAACTCCAAGGAATTCGTGGCTTTTGGATTACCAGCATCTAGTAAAAAGAAAAACTACTCTCCCAGCAACCTCAGACCCTGATATACAATATTGGGACGAAGTTCATCTAGAGAATCAACAGTTTTAAAGCCATTGAACTCTCGAAGAGCAGTCCAGCCACGATGTGTAAGAAAATCTCGGAAATCATCTTCTGTGTAAAGAGTTTTTTCTTCAGTACGAACCGATAGCCGATCAGAGTCATCATACACTTTAATTGTCAGCCCTGGAGCCAAGAATATGGATGTTATTTCCATGGGGGTAAGTTTTTGTCAGACCAGAATGTAAAGAATACAAATGTAGAGAATGCTTACCCTCATCAAGATGAAGAGTATAGGTACCCAATGGCATGTCCCTGTCAAGGCTGCGAACTACCCCATCTTCATCCTCTAGCCAAAATGTCCTTTTGGTTCGCAAACCAAAAGCAGATTTAATTGCTTCTTTGATAGCCTCTGCAGTACCATCAACACCAATCCTCCTACTGTAGTCACCACTGCTAACTAAAATGACCCTTCCAAATGTAGAATGATTTTCTCCTCCTGCAGAAAACCACAGAAACTTGTTCATACGATTGAATGCAATTTGAGGATGAGGACGTTTACCACTAGTATAAACTTGAGCATATTTAAGAGAATTGATTAATATGGTCCAAACTATGAATCTAGAAGAACACAAAAGCCTCTAGAGGAATAGTCCTAATTGAATTCAATAGGGCCTGTACGACATGCACATCCTACCATGGAAGGACGTCTTACCATTTGCTGAGGTATCTCTCCAATTCCATGGAGGAACATTGTTGGCTGCAACTGCGTCAGCTCCATTAAGTGCAAGAGGATGTCCATCATGATCCAGACGCCGCTCTAAATTGAGAGATGACCTACCACTACCTGCATGGCACATTTTTAGTTTGCAGCCCTTTATCAAAAAATATTTTCTGGTCATAGCCCATTATCGACAATTTTAGCAAAAATCATGGAACTTTTTCTATTAGTGAAGGTCCCAGCAGTAAACATATCATAGCAAATAAGAATGCACTTACAGAAGACATAGACAAGCCTTTAAAGAGACTATGTGGTGTAACTGTTCCATTATCAATAATTCTCTACGAACAGAATAATACTAAAATTAAGTTTTATGCACATCATATTTTGAGTTGGCAAAGAAAATTTAAGTCGTAAATTTCACCAATCTGAATTGGACTTTGCTGATACACACTAAGTTTCATGCTTTACATTGATTAACTAAAGGGATGTGTCTGTATACCATTGGAAAATAAGCTTTGAGCAAATGGATTGCCAATAACTCAAGAGAGTAATTAATAAATACTCAAGTCAATACCATATGAGTGATTCAGTAAACTCAACATTCTTTGGCATTTCCTCTGTATTTACACAGTAATTGGCTAGTATGATTTTCCCAAAAATGAGCCTACAATTACATGGCCAACGGCATCTATTTTTTTTTTGTAAGTGTCCTACAAGGTATTATATTTTACATATCTTATTGTAAATTTTGACAGAAAACACACCAAGTCAAAATGGCATTGATAGTAGGAAATGTTTCATAAAACATGTTTTTAACGAAGTCGTCATCCAAACAGCAAGGAGACCGCATAGTTTTCACCAATATTATAATCATTCAAACAAATTAAGAAGATAAAATTTTTTATAGTCACATGGGCCAGTATCGTGCAATTTGGCCCACAGGACAAACTAGTTAGGAGGATAATTGTTTGCACACTTTGTGATTAATTTTAAAAAAATTGTTTACTTTGAGTACTTAAGACAGCATTGTTTTAGCCCAAAATCAATTTTCCCTCCCTCCCTCAGCAGAAGGCAACATGTTCATAGGGCCCTAGGTAAATGGAAAACTCAAGCACCAGCATTACAATAGTCTACAAGCAGACCAGCACAAGCATGCTGGGCATCATAAACCTAGAATATGCAGTTAAACAGCTCAATGCAAACACTGACATCCCTAAGACGCATCATTGAGCTAATAGGCACCATCAAGCTGAATATGTCCACATTTTAGGATCCCGTTCTTTACGTCAAGATCCACGGCCCTAGGCAATTCCAATTCTAAGAATCTTAATACGTCAAATGGAGTGAAATAGTGAATTCCTCGCTAGAAAGGAATCGCTAAGATCACAAGGACAAAACATTTCCAGCAAATCCGCCCGACCACCTCATCAGCCATAAAAATTTTGGGAAATGATGATTCGCCCATGAATGTGGCTAACACTATTTGGTTATGGCATCCATGTCAAGCAGATCTATTAAAAAACGGGATGCACTCACAATATCATAGATTTGTTGGCCATCATCTATCCATTCAAGACATGAAATCAAACTTACACCACTATCCATCTTGGTTAAACAGAGGATGCACTTACTATTGGACTTAAGGCCCTGACTTCGTTGTTCTCTGATAGTGTTCTTGGTCACAGTGGGAGTGAACCAGAATGCTGGAATTACCAGTTTCTTGACGAACTGGGATTTGGAAAGTTCTAAAACATCGAGTCATGAGGCATGAGTGTAGGGCCTTGAAATCGAAAGGTTTGAGGGGTGGGAGTACACCTCATGACCAAAACTTCAGCCGTCCGACTGCCTGGGCGAAAAAAATTAAAAAAACAACTAGGCGCAATCTGGGCAGGGGCATTATGCGTTTTTGCGTTTGGGCACCCGCCTAGATAGTGAAGGTGCCACCTAGGCACTATTGTTTGGGCACCCGCTTAGGCACCGCCCCATGACAACTTGCAGGCAACGGGAGGTGAGGGCAAAATATTTAATTTTTCCCCTTAAAAAGGGAGGACAAGGGTTTTAGGGGATATTCTAAACCCCCAATAGAAAATCCGTGGCCTTTAGGGTGAGAAACACCTCTCTAAAACAACTCTTTTGTGACTTATCGAAAGATCGATAAATTTTTTATTTTTTCGATTTCTTCCCAAAACAAAGGCAATAGTTTGTGGGTGGATTTGGAGCTTCTAATAGTTGATTTTGAGAACTTTTGACGACCCAATAGACGAGGTTTGTACAGGCACCAATTTGATTTTGATATTTTAAAGTATTATCATATTTGAAAGAGGGTTTTGATTTTATTTTGCTATAACATATTATGTTATGAATCATGTATCTTTTCTTTAATTTTTTTTATTTTACGATATATTTACATGTTTGTAATTTAAAGATTGATTTTTTTTGGTGATTTTTACTCACTTGGACGATAAAATTGAGCATATATCGTATTCTCTTATGAATAATTGATTCCTTTTTTGTACAATGTGTCTTATTTTGATATTCTATTTTTTTTTGTTTTAGTTTATTTGATAAATAATTGATTATGTGATATCTTAATGGGCTAAGTCTTATGTGAAAGTGAAACTAAAATCTTAAAATGTCTTATATGTCCAATTATTCATTTAAGTCTTATTGTTAGTGTCTTATGTTTGGGGAGGGGGGAGGGGGGGTTTATTTGGTGAGGGAACCCTGTCTCTAGGCAGCGAAGCACCCAAACCGCCTAGGTGCCCCAATCCGTTTTTTTGAACATTGATCATGACTGTGAGCCAGGGCATGAGGGAAATATCCGAGAATTTGATGTGATAGAGAAAATGTCTGAGAATAAGCCTTGCGTGGGAAGACTAGGCCTAGAGAGGACATGAGCCTAAATCCCTAACCTCGAGCTTTCTCACAGCATGTGCATGGACAGTAGCAAGTAAGAAGCCACTCTGATAAGTTTTGAACTGCTTAATCAGAGTTATGCAAATATACTAGAGAGAGGACCCCCGCATCAACAGAAGTGCATGTCCTGAGGGGTGCAACCGCAATCAATTCTACATTCAGAAACCGGGTATAATATTGGGTCATCTTTGATAGAAACCGGGCATAATATTGGGTCATCTTTGATAAACCAAGCACGTACCCCTGCCGGAGACTGTGAGACATGGTTTTGTTGGGTTTACTTGAAAAAATGGCTTTAAGTTTTGAAGCTGGCCCAGTGGAGTACCATACTGCCCAATTTAACCTCGTGAAGGATACTAATTTCCCAATTTATATTTTTCTCGGATGCCGGACTGAATTAATTTGTTTGAGAATGACTAAGAATGATTTATGATGATTTTTTTAGAATTTTTATAAAATTTTTATTTTGGGTAAAATTGATTTCCTAAAATTGTTGACGCATAATTCCAATTAAGCACAGTTTGCACATGTGGGGAGAGGCATACATTTGGCCAGTGTATGCCATGTGGACCCCACATGGCTGTCATGTTGTTTCCATGCGTAGATGATGTGGCGCACTTTCCTAGGCATGGAGCCCTAGTTTGGATAGTGCACTTATCTTGGTTATGTGCAATATTTTTTATGAAGCTTTTACATGTGTATGTGTGCATGTGTGGAAAATGTATTTCTAAATATTGCATTTGAATTTGGAAAATCTAGCTAATAGGATTTGCGGAGAAAAAGTGATTTACTAGTGTCTTGATCATCTATTGGTTGTGTGTGTGGTTTATGACATCACATGTGTGATTTATGGCACTCATGACACCACATGTGTGGCTTATGACTCCACATGTGTGATGTGGTCTTATTGAGAGTGATGTTTTTACTTTATGGAATTCAAATTTTTGAGTGAGAAAAGAAACCCTACAGAGGAGCTCATCCCACTTAAAGAGATTTTTCATCACATAAAATCTTGATCAAGGTTTTATAAAATCAAGGGTGATGATAGGAGCAAAAATTTGAGTTTCTGACAAATGTAATAGAAATTCAGTTGTGGGAAATTTGGACGTAATTAGGGCTGAATTTGTTGATAAAGGTGATTTAAACCCATCCTATGATAGCCATGGAGGGTGATGACATAGGCTAGGATCAAAAGCCTCTTCCAACCCTTGGATGGTTCAATCAAGGGCTAAGATTCAATCACAACTAAACCCACACTAGCAACCACATATAAAAGGGTAACTTGACCTAATTTTCCATACTTCAAATGAACAATTTAGAACGATAGAGCGAGTCATAAGTGACACACCCCACCTAGCCTTGCCATCCTTGAGCCTTTAATTCATGAGTGTGAATTGAATGAGAGTTAGTGCATAATATGGAGGCTCAGTGAATGGTACATGTTGTCCCCACGATGCCTTGCACCAATATGTACAATAGTCCTTTTTTTTTATCACTTGGGTCCTAAAAATTCCAGAGAACTCTAGTGGATTCATGGAGGGTCTAGATTCTAGACCTACCCTAAGGGAAGGGCTGGAAGGCATTGTCTAGAATGTTTTACAGGCTAGAAGGTTAATAGCCATTGGATTTGCCACGTGTGTCAATCCTAACCATTGGTTGTAAGGCCCAGTGCCTATATAAGGGGGAGGACCCCTCATTTAGACCACAACTCAGAAAGTTGTAAGCTCTTGAGTTCCAGTGGAATACAAGCCGTTCTTATTCAATTTGTTTGTGTCCCTCTCTCTTGTACTAGTGTGTGTTGGTTGAGCTAGTGTGTGGGTGATGAGTACTAGCATTGACTATCTTATCATGCTTAGTTAATGCACACTTGTGCTCGTGATTGGGAAGGCTAACTTATCCTCGACGGATTAAGTTACGAGTGTCGCACGGTCAAAGCACAAGGCTTCACTAGGGCCGTGATAGGTGGTATCTAAACAAAGGTTGAGGGAACCACCAGATTGGTTTGTGGCAGCTAACATACTTGTGGGTTAAGAGCATGCGACCATGTCTTATGGGGTGACCGATGGTAACCAGGCTCATGGCAATACCAACAAGGAGGGGAAAAGGGACAAATCCTAAGATCCGTTGGCTGCCTTAGACAAATGAGTTGCATGATCGGAGCTCACTATGGCAGATGTCCAAGAACTACTTGGGGAAATCGGTCAGAA